TTGGTTCTTTTCTTTCTTTTTTTTTTTTTTTTTTGGTACGTGCCCCTAGCGGGAACCGAACCCGGGACTCCCTGGTCCACAGGCCGACGCTCCAACGACTGAGCCAAACCGGCCAGGGCTGAGCATACTTTTCTTTTTCCCTTAAGACTTGAATTACATTTTTGAAACTCTTAGTTTAATTTCTTCGTCAACGTTCTATAAGGAAGCGTATCTACAAATATTTCATTTTTACCACTGATATCCTAAAAACACTTACTGGTCTTAGATTTTTCTCTCAATAGATACAATTAAATTACACTTCAGCAGATCTTCAAAGATGAAATAATAACTCCAAACATCACCTAACTTGAATACCCATTATTTGGAGCTAACTCATAATCGCATACATTAAGAGCTCCTCCGTTTCAGGATATGATTACTTGTTAAATGTTTCTATGTGCTCCTGCTCTCGGTAGTTTCGGACATTGCAACGTCGTCCACGTCGTAAACTCAGCTTCTAGTTGACATTTAGACGTTTTGAAATAGAAGAGATATTCGTCTTTTTATTTATTAACAACCTTAAAATTTGAGCTTCATCTTGCTGATTATTTTTTCTTGTTCTTTCAGTAAGACATTAATCCTGCCAAATAACTAAAATCTATTACTTGTCTGGCAGGAAGAGGCTACTGACCCATACGAGGAGAGAGAATACTGGTGTTAACTCAAGTCCCTGGAAAGCAATGTGTTCTTAATTGTTTTCTGTTGTTTTGTTGTTAGGAGGAGACAACCATGCCACATGAGCAACAAACTATGTTTATGCGTGGATGGAGTTTAGCACTGTAATCAAATAGAGCTTACAACAAAGTTAATCTGATGATACATATTTAATGCTATGCATTATCGATGTGCTACATGGTAATTAGACATAAATGGGAAACAGCGCCTATGAATGGCAAATTGATGTTACTTTTGCATCACTGAAGCAAACGGTTCTGGGAGGGGATGAAGAGGTACCCGTGATTCTGGTCTTGTTTTCTTTCCTGAGGGGGCACGCACTCTTTCGGGTGCTGGAAAATGAAATAATTGCTTCAACCCAGAAACTTCCTGCTTACCAGAAGACACTGAGGCATTTGATTGGTCTGGATAAACGCTGTATTAACTTTAATAACCCCGGTGAGTTCCTCACCAGTTGCGCCTTGTGTGTATCCAAGCAGCGTAATTCCAATTGTGCATACTAGCAAATTGCCTGTTAAATTGTTTTCTCCTACAATCAGAACTAAGAAAATGAGTTTTGATGGAGAAGGGTAAGAAATGAGAGAAAATTGTTGGGTAGCTGGCACCGCGAGGGACGCAGGCTGGCGTGGGGGGCAAACAGAAAGCGGGCGCAAAATTGGTGGGGCAAAGGATGCAAAGGGTACGAGGCACAGATTATGTAAAAACAAAAAAAAAAGGTTAGAGATAAAAGCTTAGAAAAGGGAAGGGAGGTCTAGAGAAGAGGAAGAGACAAGACAGGTGAAGTCACGCACGGCAAACAGGAAATGAATGAGGCATAAGGCACGGACACGCTCAGGAGGAGCCTGGCAGTACCTGCACTTCGTGACTCTCCTTCGCTCACCCTCCCAGGGTACGATCCAAAATTGAGCATAATGATATGATTCCACAAGCAGTTGTTTTGCCATTGTGGATAAGATTAAACCCGCAAATCTAACAACTTAGACGGATTTTACTGCCATCTCTAAATTTTAAGCAATTCTATTCCTCCCAACTGGACCAGGGTTACCCAATTTAGAGAGAGAAACAAATATATATTGTTCATTCCACAAAATTCAGTGAAACATTTAAAAAAAAAATCCCAGGTAATACATTTCTTTTCTTTAAAATATGTTTTTGATTTTTTAAAGAAAGAAGAGGGGAGCCCTGGCCAGTTTGGCTCAGCGGTTAGAGCGTCGGCCCGTGGACCAGAGAGTCCTGGGTTCAGTTCCTGCTAAGGGCACGTACCTCGGTTGTAGTTTGGCCCTGGCACCAGTTGGGGTCGTGTGGGTGGCAACCGCTCGATGTGTCTCTCTCACATCGATGTTTCTCTCTTTCTCTTCCTCCCTCTCTCCCTCCTGCTCTATCTGAAGATGAATGCAAAAATGTCCTTGGGTGAGGATAAAAAATAAATAAATAAAAAAATTCTTTCAAAGAAAGAAGAAGGGAGACAGAGATAGAAACACTGATGTGAGAGAGAAACATCAATCAGCTGCCGCCTTCCTGCCTCCTTCCTCTCAGTCCATGGGACGACACTCAATCCACTGAGCCACACTGGCTGAAACCAGGTAATACATTTCTATATACACAAGTTAAAACCTTGTTGCATAGTAGAGAGACATTCATAGTGAGAACCTTTCTCTTCCTACATTCCCTAAAGAGTTAAAAATATGACTTAGAAAATAATAGTTTTTAATGTTACTGGGAAATAAAAACCACAGTAGCATCCTGCACATTTACATTATTTATTTGCCAAGGCATATAAAGGAAAAACTGCACAGTTTTAATGGGTAAAATAGATGACCCCATTAAAATTTCAAAATATGGTTCTATTTTACTCTAACTTGATTATACAGAAAAGACTAGAAAGCTTCAATTTTTGAATAGGAGTCGGAAATCTGTTTGCTTTCTGTAGTTTAAATTTCAACTGTCCAATTGAAAAAAAGAGAACTAAATCCCATTCAGGCTTAATGCTTTGCTCATTCTGACTATTGCACAAAGAATTGTGGGGCTGCCCGGCTGGTGTGGCTCAGTGGTTGAGCGTCGACCCATGCACCAAGAGGTCGCCGGTTCGATTCCCGGTCAGGGCACATGCCCAGGTTGTGGGCCCAATCCCCAGTGGGGGGCGTGCAGGAGGCGGCCAATCGATGTTCTCTTTCATCAAAGCTTCTATCTCTCCCTCCCTCTCCCTTCCTCTCTCTAAAATCAATAAAGGAAAAAAAGAAAAAGAATCATGGGACTAAAAGGGACAGGAGAAATTTGATCAACTCACCATTTCAACTCAGAGAACTATGGACTTGCTAGTTGCACAGAGAAAAACATTTTTCTAAAAACTTTACCACCAGGGGCTTTCTTATCAAAGTGTAACTCTTACTGAGATTAATTAAGTGTATCATGGTAATAAACACACTATATCAACTGATTAAACCTTGGGCCTAGAGAAAGTGAATATGTATATTTAAAAGATATACATGAGCCCTGGCCGGTGTGGCTCAGTGGTTGGAGCGCCAGCCCGCAGACCAATGAGTCTCAGGTTCAACTCCAGTCAAGGGCACGGACCTCGGTTGCAGTTCGCCCCCAGCCCTGGTCGGGTCGCGTGGGAAGCAACAAGTCGATGGGGCCCTATTACATCAATGTTTCTCTCTGCCTCTCTGCCTCTCCCTCCTTCCCACTCTATCTGATGATAAACAGGAAAATATCCTCAGGTGAGGAATATAAATAAATAAATAAACAAAGTAAAAATAAAAGATATGCATGAGGTGAACTGTAACGCAAACCTCCACTACAAAAATGAAAGAACCGTAGACAATAATATAAACAAAGCCCCTTTAAAATGGAGCCAGCGCAGCCATGCCAGAGACACTACCTTGCACATCTTATGCCTTAAGTCCTTGGGATGTTAAAACAGGGCGAAATAACCTTTGGACTTGGCCTAATCGACCTTGTGCCTTGCAAAAGACCTGTTTGCAAAGATAACGAGAAAGCAATTATTATGCCTACTGGGCTGATGACTACTGGACTGAAAATGTAAAGCACTGTTGAGAATTAACACCGCTGTTTGTTATGCTATCTGCACCAATAGCAATGCCTTCCTTCTACTAATGCAATTGTCCCCCTTCCCTTTCTCATAAATACCCATTGCCTTTGTCTCCGAACCAGAACACCACTTGGGCTTCTGCCTGAATCAGGGTTTCCAGAATAGCTGTTCTTGTTGATCTCAAATAAACACTTGTTTGCCTCTCACTCTGAAAGGTCTTGTTACTTGTAGGTTAACAGAACTTCCACATAGACACAGAGGGGCAAATGACAAATGCTGGCTCTCTGAGATTTCGACACAGTCTGAAGAAGATATGGCAAAATTATTACAGCATTAAACTACTCGGTCGTCTTAAAATCAAAGCAAACGGCATGGCTCAAAAACAAACAACAACCGAAAACTACAATGACTGCCTTTCTGGGAAAAATCTCTGCAGTGTTTCCGCCTAGAAATTAAACCAGACAGGGGCAGACATACCAAGCATTCTAATATGTTGGATCTTGTATAGTGCTTTATTCTAGAAAGCACCTTTGGGGTTTAATCATCACAGTGGCCCTGTGATCTCAGATGAGGACGCAGAGTATCACAAGCCGAAATAGTTTGTCCATAGGAGGCAGAATAGAATAGACCAGAAAGAGCAATAGTTTTTGAGCACGACAGACTTTGTTCTGAAGCCCAGCTTGGCTACACTGCCCCCTACAGCTATATGACACGGGCAACCTCTCTAAGCCTCAGTTTCCTGATTTGTAAAATGAGGGTATTGGTACTGACCTCATAGGATTGTTGTGGGACTCAATGAGATGAAATATATCTTGTGCGTGGACAATCCCCAGCACATGTTAAGTGCCTAACAGAGGAGAACTTGACCATTTATCCATTGATCACGAGCAAGCGATTTAACCTGTTGCCTCTCCTCTTTTATAGCCATAATAACAATATCTACTTTACAGAGCCACGGTGATGATGAAATACATGCAGTTTTCTGCACAGTGAATAAGAGAGCAGGATATGCCTACATATGCAGAAACTTAAATTTAAAAAAACAGACATATCTAGTACACGGCAGAAACGGAAACGGAACCTAGGTCTATGTTGAATCCTCTATCAGCACAGGGACATACTCCTGATTCCATTCTCCAAACACAGAAGAACATTTTCTCGCAACTCCAGTCAGAAGACAGCAACCTAGGAACACCTGTGAAAATGAATTTTAAACAGAAAATATGCAAGTTACCTGAATTAAGGCCTCACTCAACATGTCTTCATTGACCTCCAAAATACTGTTTTTGATATCTTCATATGGCATACGATATGATCCTAGGAAGATAGCTAAAATAAAAAGTGATTTTATTAAAAATGGAAGAGCGCCCAAATTTTAAATTAACATCCTAATAAATACCTGATTCTCATTTCACAGGCTCAAAATATGAAACTTCAGTCACTAATATTAATTTACAGAGTTATGAACAAGCAAAAGGACTTCTCATTTGATCACCACTCAACTAGGGGAAATGGCCTATTATCACAGGCTCTAAAGTTTACAGCTATCACATATTTATACACAAAATAAAACTCTCACTAATAGTATTGACAACTACATGTTTATGCCTTTTAGATTGAGCTGCTACAAAATGACCCATGAAAAGTTAGAGATTTGATTTCAAGCGGGCCTTCTAATTCAAAGTAGAATTCGGTGTGGACACTGTCAGGTGCATCCAAGACAGTACTGCTCAAGAACGACAATAAAGTCACCGAATACAAGAAAAGCATGTCAATGTGCTTTGCAGTTCTCCCATATAGGAATGCTCTCCCCATTCCTGCTGACACTCATGTGGTGCACGATTTCCTTTGTCAATGTCTTCTTAACTAAATACATATTCTGGCCTGGCCGGTGGGGCTCAGTGGTTGAGCGTCGACCCATGCATCAAGAGGTCCCGGTTCGATTCCCGGTCAGGGCACATGCCCAGGTTGTGGGCCTGATTCCCAGTGGGGGGCATGCAGGAGGCGGCCAATCGATGTTCTCTCTCATTGATGTTTCTATCTCTCTCCTTTTCTCCTTTCCTAAATTATCTAAAAAATCGATAAAGGGAAAAAAAATACATATTCTGTCATATCGAAATAATTCAATAAATTATATCCAGAAAGCTTATATTCACTCAAAACATATTTTTCTTTTCTTTTTATTAAATTTTTGTATTTTTGTTAATCCTCACTGAAGGATATGTTTTCCATTGATTTTTTAGAGAGAGAGAGGGAGATAGAGAAACAGAGGCAGAGAGGGTGAGAGAGAGAGAAACATTGAGGTGAGAGAGACACATTGATTGCCTACCTCAGGCACCCACCCCGACCAGGGCCAAGGAGTGAACCTGCCACCCAGGTACGTGCCCTTGACCAGAATTGAACCCGAGATCCTTGGTCTGAGGGCCGATGCTTTAACCACTGAGCCATACTGGCCAGGGCTCAGAACCTATTTTTCAATAATACATTTCACTTTAGCCTCCACTAAAGATACCTTTTAAAGAACACTTGTGTGTTCTTATCATCAGAACAGGAATATATTCCTAAGAACTTTTTTCATGTAAAGATCCGTTTGACTTCACTGTCACTTACAAAAGACAAAAACAAACCCTTACTGTCTAAGCACATGATTACCTAGACACTAAATGAGAATGCTGTAATCAAAATTAATAATGTTGACAGATCTCAACTGGCAATTAAGACCATACTGTGTTTTAAAAAAAAATACTGAACACCCACTTTATAAAGACTATGTACTGTCAGTCAGATAAGCAACGCACACATTCACAACAGCTATTAGAACACTGCTTTTCTGACAGCCACCTTCCGACTGACAGGAGAATGATGAGCTGTTTATTTTCATCCGATTCCCTATAGCACGTTCTTTAACAAAATAAACTCCTATGGTATCTCTGTGCTTAATTAGAAATGCTTGATGTGTCGAAATTTCTCATGCGTAGTGTTTCAGTGTCCTCGGAATATAAACACAGCCTTCGGTGGCGACAAAAGAACGCTGAATTCAATGCACAGGGGAGAATTTGTCAAAGTAAAATATTTAAGCCTACTTAAATGAAGATGGGTTGAACTGTCTGGCTGCTTTAGAGGAAGTATATTTAAGGGCTGACTGGTCTGTTAAAGGTTTTCAGGTTTAGTAACCAGTTGTAAGGTGCAGTGAGTGGTTAACCACTGAAGCAGCTCCCACACAATTACTTCGAATGTAAATGAACGGCAGAGAAGGATTTGCCCAATGTGACTAGGCTGAAGGAACACAAATAATACTCTTTTCAACTCTGCCGTACGTCTCCCTATGTCTTCTGACAACGCCTAATTATTGGTCCCTCCCAAAGGTCTATTATTCATCAATTTCATCCAGCCGGAGGAAGGCTCAATGAGGATGGCCTCCTTTGTGGCTGAATGACAAAAAGGCAAACCCAAGCAGGTTTACACAGAATTTTTGTTTCCAGCAGGTGCTAAAAATACCTGTGAAAGGAGTTCCAACTTTGTTTGAATACATTCATCAGCCACCCTCTCACCACCAACCCCTATGCAGGAAATTGCACGTACACAGATTCTGGGCCGTTTTGGGATCCAAAACTCTCAACTCTTTCACTTTCTTCTTTGTGGGCTGGGACTTCTTCGCCTCTAAAGTGTCTGCATTCTTTTGAGCTGAAAGAAAAATGTTGATTCATAAACAATAATGGCGCTAATCCAAATGCACAGACGAACATTAGTAAGGCATATTAACTACATTAATAAAGCTCATGCCCAAATCAATAAATGTGTTTATTTCATTAGTTCGAGGAAGAGGATAAACATAAAAATATAGACCTGTTTAGAGGTTTCCCTACAAATTAAATATCAGCACTTAAGCAGAAAAGATAAGCTAAATAGAACCAAAAATCAATTGCTGCTTCTTAACATTAATTACTCTTTACCAGGTACCTACAAGCAGCACTGCAATTAAATATATAGTAAAATCTCCCTAATTTGGACTAATTGAGGAAAAAGACATGCATTTATCCTAACTTAGATTAAAATTCCGGCAAGTCTTTAATTCAGTGGAATTGCTTTGAAGTACCTAAGGTAACTTAAACTGCTGAACAGGTTGCCATATAAAAATTCCTGCTGAGACTGCTTTGAAGAATAGATATGAACCTTTTGCTGCACCACAGTAGCACCCATTTGCATACACATAATTAACAAACCTCAGAGACAAGGTCTTTTGAGTAGGTTAGCTTGGTCTCCCTCACCATTTTTTTTTTCAGTACTATTTCCTTTCTTAGAACAAAAGACATCTTTATGCTGTATTCAAAAGCAATCCTGTAGTTCAAAACAATTAAAATGACCTGAAACTGTGAAGAGTGGCAGTTCCAAGGGGTGGCTTTAGCTTCCCATTATCTCCATCAGCTCTCACCCATATACGCCATCCCCAAAACCAAAGGCTAAAACAACCTGGCTGCCTGCTATGAAAATGAAGCTTTGGACCACATCCCTAGCCCTCCTATCCAGAAATATTGCAGCTAGCATTGGGCTCATGTGTTACCCGTTTCCTTCTTCCAATATAAAAATAAGGTTGGAGGTCATGAGACCGTATGAAAATAGGAGTAAAGCCAACATTTTTTTCGACCAAAAATATATTCTTGCCCCTCAACTCATGCCCCTAAGCTTCATCACTGAATCATATGGCCATAATCCTGCTCTTTGTTTTTATGACTTTAAATTTTGAGGCAATAATTATTTTTAGTATTTTACTTGATCTAATCTTTGTTAAGGACATCACAAAGAAGTGGCTGATTTTCATTAGAGGAAAATCAACACAACCACAGTATATTTTTGCTAAGCTATGTGTTCAAAGACATTAGCATCTGGAAAACTTTCTAGACATGTCATAGAAGGCATCAAAATACAGCAAGTCCATAAGATCACCTTTGTTTTAATGGTGCAAATTTATAAAAATTAAGTAAACTTTCTATAAAACAACAGATAAAATAAATTATCTGAGTAACTAAAGTCCTAAGAGTTAGTTCTAAGTTTTATCAGTATCACCAACCTAAAATGATGCAGTCTAGGCAGATTAGATAGTAATTACACTTAAAAATCATAATCTTTTCAGAGATGACAAGTAGTTGGCCATGTTTACTCAACATAATAGTTATTGCTAGTACTGGAAGAAAAATGACTTTTAATGTATGTCCTTTAAAATCATCACATATGTTCCTCAAAGGATCTAAGAGCACAGTGTCTTTCCTAGTCAGCATTTTAATTTATTCTAATTTTCCAGCACACCCAGCTAAGACAACTCTATATAAAGAAATGACAATTCAATAGTCATTCACTTCGACAATACATATAAATATATACACGCATACACACACACACACACACACACACACACATATTCAAATTTTGTTTCTAGCAGGTGCTAGAAATACCAGTGAAAGGAGTTACAACTTTGAATATATTCAACAGCCACCCTCTCACCACCAACCCCTATGCAGGAAATTGCACGTACACAGAATCTGGTCCATTTTATTATATATATATATATCTAATATATGTATATATATCTGAATCATATTGAAATTACTTCTAGAATCATTCAGTAATTTTAACCCAAAGTAATAGTCAAGAAAACTGCCCTAATCTCTCGATATGTCTTAAACCCTTTTATAGGAAACTGGTTAACCAAGTATACATAGGATAAAAATGCTGTAGTATGAAGGATACATTAAGATTATTCTGCAAACAGCCTCCTGACTAACCCAGACATACATAATGCTCATTTTTGTATGCCTTATTTTTGCATTTTTTTCCATTAAAATATACTTCAACCTCTCTCTTCTTTAAATGAACAAGTTATTTAAAATTAAGATTAGATGTCTCAAATATCTCAAGTTCACAGTTTTGGGTTGTTTTTTTTTTTTGAATCATAATATATTTTTCTTATATTATGTATGCAACTTGGCTTTATCCTGGGTTCAAGAAATGGTAAGAATTCCAGGAGTGGGCAATGCTGTTCTGAGAATTACTACAGAAAAGCTAGTTTAAAACAGTCCGTTAGCCCAGCCGGTGTGGCTCAGTGGCTGAGCGTCGACCCCTGCACCAAGAGGTCGCTGGTTCGATTCCCAGTCAGGGCACATGCCCAGGTTGTGGGCCTGATCCCCAGCGGGGGGCATGCAGGAGGCAGCCAGTCAATGTTCTTTCTCATCGATGTTTATCTCTCTCCCTTCTTGTCTCTCTAAAATAAATCAATGAATAAAAAAAATTAGCAATACCACATGACCCAGCCATCCTACTTCTGGGTACATATCCAAAAGAAGTAAAATCAGCATCTCAAAGAGATATCTGCACTCCCGTGTACACTGCACCATTATTCACAATATCCAAGATATGGAAACAACCTAAATGTCCATTAAGAAGTGAATGAATAAAGAAAATGTCACACACACTCACACACACACACAGTGTAATATTATTCAGCCTTTTAAAAGAAGAAAATACCACCATATGCAACAACATGGATGAACCTGGAGTACATGATGCTAAATGTACTAAATGAATTACAGAAGGATAAATGCTGACATAAGAAATGCTAATATAGTACTTCTATAAGTAATCGGAAAGCTTTATGTTTATGCTATAGATTACTTATATAAATTATCTAAAATGTCAAACTCATAGAAACAAAGAGTAGAATGGTGGTTGCCAGGGGTTGAAGGATGGGAGGAATAGGGAGTTGATGTTCAAATGGAATAAAGTTTCAGTTATACAAGATGAGTAAGTTCTAGACATCTGCAGTGCCACATTGTGCCTACAGTTAACAATAATGTCCTGTACATTTAAAAATGTGTTAAGAGGGGCCCTGGCAGGTTTGCCTCAGTGGTTAGAGCATCAGCCTGTGGATCAGAGAGTCATGGGTTTGATTTCGGTCAAGGGCACATATCTCAGTTGCAGTTTGTCCCCGCAAGGCCGTGTGGAAGGCAACCAATCGATGTGTCTCTCTCACACTGGTGTTTCTCTCTCTCTCTCTCCCCGTCCGACTCTGTCTGAAAATAAAAAAATTTTAAAAGAAGGAAAATATATCTTCGGGTGAGGATTAAAAATAAAATGTGTTAAGAGGGTATATTTGTTGTTAAATGTGCTTATCACAATAAAATATAAATTAATTTTAAAACATAAAATAAGCCCGGCTGGTGTGGCTCAGTGGTTGAGCATCAACCTGTGCACCAAGAGGTCGCAGGTTCAATTCCTGGTCAGGACACATGCCCAGGTTGTGGGCCCGATCCCCAGTGGGGGGCATGCAGGAGGCAGCCAATTGATGTTCTTTCTCATCTATGTTTCTATCTCTCTCTCTCTCTCCCCCTTCCTCTTTCTCTAAAAGATCAATAAAGAATAAAATTTTAAAATAAACAAATAAAACGTAAAATAAATATATAAAGATTCTGCAATTATTTGAAATTACTTTGATGGGACTGAAGAGATTTTGAGTCTCAATACAAAAACGTCAAGAACTGCCCTGGCCAGTTTGGCTCAGTATTAGAGCATCGGCCCACGGACCAGAGACACCCAGGTTCGGTTCCGCTAAGAGCGCGCACCTCGGTTGCAGTTTGTCCCCAGCCCCAGTTGGGGTAGTGTGGGTGGTGGCCAGTCGATGTGTCTCTTTCACATCAATGTTTCTCTCTCTCTCTTCTTCCCTCTCTCCTTTTAGCTCTATCTGAAGATAAATGCAAAAATGTCCTCAGGTGAGGATTAAAAAAAAAAAAACTTCACGAAAGTATTTTGTCATCAATGGCCCTATGGTCCTCAGGCTCCAAATGAGGCCTCCAGTCAAATGCGACCTCTCTCTAAGCAGATGTAAAACCATACAGCCACGAGGTTTGAATCCAATGGATTGAACTGAATGCATGTATTGGCACTATTAATTGAACAAATAATAATGAAACATTATAAAATACTGTCTGTAAGAAGATAATAATGCAATAATAAAGACATATGTATTATTATTAAAGATACGCTAACACCAAGACACTAATTATCTAAGATAAAATGCCCAATGAGTATTCTTATATTTCCTTTAATACAAGGATTTTTACACGCAACCGTAGTATAAATTTATTCCTTTACAACTGAGGGACGCTTATCAGCATAAACAAAGTAAACATGGTTACATTCTTTCCCCAATCTAATTTAGGCAATGTTCAGAAATCTCCTATTAATTTCTGCTATCCCAGTGGATATACAGAACATGTGACAAAACGTGTCATTTGTAGCAAATATTAAGATATTATAAATGGGCAATACTGAATGATTTACATAGTGATAACTAACCATAAATCATAATAAAATTTTTATAATTATTTTAATTTATTTCAAAATTCCAGTGAGAAAAATTGATTCCTAAAGTCAGTATCAATACGATGAAGTCATTAATTTATTCATTCATTCATCCAGCAAATACTTGTTGATTACCTACACAATATGTTAGCCTAAACTGAGTGTACAAATGGTACACAAGACTGAAATGTCTCCTCATACTTGTTAATACATGGTTATATGTAAACTACTAATTATGGAAGTATCTCCAAAAGATAACTAACATTTGTAATTTTCTTATCAATAACAATATTGCTTAAATGAATATATGCATATCACTAAGCAAATTTCTT